GTGATCTCGGCTCACTGCAACCTCCACCTCCTGGGTTCAAGCGATTCTCCTGCCTCAGCCTCCTGAGTAGCTGGGACTACAGGCATGTGCCACCATGCCTGGCTAATTTTTGTATTTTTGGTAGAGACAGGGTTTAACCTACCATGTTAGCCAGGCTGGTCTCGAACTCCTGACCTCAGGCAGTCCACCCACCTCGGCCTCCCAAAGTGCTGGGATTACAGGCATGAGCCACTGCGCCTGACCCACTACGTGTGTTTTAAACATGTGCAGAATAGTGTTTTTTATTTCATTTCCCAATGACTTTTTAATTTTGTTGCCTTTTTTTGGTTGTACATGAGATAAAATCTGTAACTTTAGGCAATAATTTAGCATAATCCTGATGCCTCTGGCCTAGGGCGTAACTGAAAAGCTCCTTTAAATAGTAGTTGAAGTCTTTTCCTTTTTGGCTGCATATTAGCTTCTTGCTGACATTAAAACTCCTGTGGCCACATCTCATGACGTTTTCTTTTTCTTTTTTTTTTTTTTTTGAGACGGAGTCTAGCTCTGTCGCCCAGGCTGGAGTGCCGTGGCCGGATCTCAGCTCACTGCAAGCTCTGCCTTCCGGGTTCACGCCATTCTCCTGCCTCAGCCTCCCGAGTAGCTGGGACTACAGGCGCCCGCCACCTTGCCCGGCTAGTGTTCTGTATTTTTTTTTTTTTAGTAGAGACGGGGTTTCACTGGGTTAGCCAGGATGGTCTCGATTTTCTGACCTCGTGATCCGCCCGTCTCGGCCTCCCAAAGTGCTGGGATTACAGGCTTGAGCCACTGTGCCAGGCGACATTTTCTTAAAGTGAGATTCTGTGGACTAGGTTCTTTTGGTACTTAGAAAATTGTTTCCTTTTATAATCTCTGTCTCCAAATATAGACCCTGAAAATGAGAATTCGGCATGCTTTAAGAACTCTTAGGCCAGCGTGGCCAGAATATAATAGCAGTAGGGGTATAAGTGGGAGGTAGGGAGAAGTTGGCAGAGGTTACCTCGTGAAGGAATTTGATACTAAGAGTGGTGAGAAGCCATTGAAGGATCTTAAGCTAGAGATTCAATTTATACTTTAAAAAGATCATTTTGGATTTTTTGTTGAGTATGTTGTAGTGCAGGAGTAGAACTTATAGGATCAGCTGCAGGCTGCCATTGCAATGGACTGAGATGGGCCAGAAATCATGATATCTTGTATCGGGCAGGAACAGTACAAATGGAGAAGTACAGATGACTTTGAGATGTATTTCATAGGTAGAGTGAATAGGTTAATAGGATCTGCAATAGTGAATTGGAAAGAAGAGCAAGAACCAGGGTTAAAGGAAAAGGTAAAATTAGGATGACAGATTTCTGGCTTGAGCAATTGGGTGGTGCAATGAGTTAGGGAAAACTGGGGGAGGATAGGTTTGTGATGGTGAAATCAAGAGTTCTCTTTTAGGTACACGTATCCAAGTACCTAGCTCAATGTCTGGCCTAGAGAAGATTATCAGCTCTTTTGCCCACCACCAAATCTAGCTGCATGTGATTTCATTTCGTTTCATAATGATGTAATTATTTCAGTCATTGGAAATGGATGCAGTAAGGTCACTGAGGTCAAAAAGTTAACATAAAGTTTGGCAGATAGCCACTAGACCAGTTTGTTTGGCATAGTATTTGGGGTGACAAAGTTGCTGCAATATATCATAAAGTGGGAAGGACGCTTGGGGCACTAGTATTTCTTTTTTTCTTTCTTTCTTTTTTTTTTTTTTTTTTTGTGAGTCAGAGTCTCACTCTGTTACCCAGGCTGGAGTGCAATGGCACAATCTTGGCTCACTGCAACCTCTGCCTCCCAAGTTCAAGCAGTTCTCCTGCCTCAGCCTCCCAGGTAGCTGGGATTATAGGCACCCGCCACCACGCCTGGCTAATTTTTGTATTTTTGTTAGAGACAGAGTTTCCCCATGTTGGTCAGGCTTGTCTTGAACTCCTGACTTTAAGCAATCCACCTGCCTTGGCCTCCCAAAGTGCTGGAATTACAGGCATGAGCCACCATGCCTGGCTGGATTTCATTTTAAAATATGAAAGACCTTTAGATGTTCATTTATATTTGTTTCTGTTCTAGGCTCTGTACAAAATGAGCTAAATAGCTAAGGTATGTGCATTCCAGGTCATCTGTCTTAGGTAATCATACAGAAGGAAATCATAGACTTTACAGCATATATTAATAACTACCAGTTGACTTGCTATTGAAAGGGAAAGTTTGTATGAATTTAAAACCCTAGACCAGCACTGTTTAACAGAACTCTCTGTAATAATAGGAATCTTCTATACCTGGGATATCCAGTATGGTAACTGCCACCACATGTATCTATTGAACACTTGAAATGTGGCTAATGTCGCTGCGAAACTGAATTTTTTATTTTTTCATATTTTTGAGACGGAGTTTTGCTCTGTCACCCAGCCT